TGAGCACCTAACAAGCTGCTCAAAATAATTCGTCTTTAGGGGAAATTCACATTAAAGCTGCTATGGGATGCAACTATGCACCAACTCGATGGGCTGAAATTGAAAAAGACTGGCCACGCCAAGTACTGATGGGGTCAGGAAGGAACCAGAACCGTAGGAGCGTCGAATGACACAACCACTTAGCAAAGAGTTCGGCAGGCTTTTTAAAAAGTTAACACCTACGTGCAAGGCTGAGCCCGTGGAGGACACAGAGCCAATGAAATGTTCACACACTGCAGATGGGAATGAGCAATGTTACAGTCACTTTAGAAAGCAGTTTGGAAATGTCTTGTAAATTTAAGCATACGCTTGTATTGAACCAGCATCTTTTTTTTTTTTTTTAAAGATTTTATTTATTTGAGAGCGAGAATGAGAGACAGCACAAGAGGGAAGAGGGTCAGAGGGAGAAGCAGACCCCCCGTGGAGCAGGGAGCCCAATGCGGGACTCGATCCAGGGACTCCAGGATCATGACCTGAGCCGAAGGCAGTTGCTTAACCAACTGAGCCACCCAGGCGCCCTTGAACCGGCATCTTGATCCAAGGTTTTCCATGTGAAATGATAACCTGTGGCCACACAAACATCTGTATGTCAATATTTCTAGAAGTTTGATGTGTAATTAGGCAAAAATGTACACCACTCAATTGTTCCTCACCTGGGGAATGGATAAACAGACTTTGGTAGATCCACACAATTGAATTCCACACAACAAAAAAAGAATAAACTACAGATACACACAACTACATGGATGAATCATAAACGCATCATACAAGTGAAAGAAGCCAGACTCAGAACTCTATACACATTTTTATTTTATTTTATTTTTTTAGAGAGAGCGAGTGCTCCAAGCGAAGGCTGGGGCAGAGAGAGAGAGAGTGAGGGAATCTCAAACAGGCTTCATGACCAGAGGGGAGCCTGTGGCCAGGCTTGATCTCATGATGCTGAGATCATGACCTGAGCCAAAATCAAGAGTTGGACGCTTAACCAACAGTGCCACTCAGGTGCCCCATATATACATTTTTAATTCCACTTTGTGAAATTCTGGAACAGGCAAAAGTATAAAATAAATAAGTCATGGAGATGAAAAGTACAGCATAGGGAATATAGTCGATAATATTGTAATCATGTATGGTGACAGAGGTGGACCACACTTATGGTGGGTATTGAATGATGTACAGAATTGCTGAATCAATATGTTGTACACCTAAAACTAATATAACATTATACATCGATTATACTTTAATAGTAGATTTAACTTAAAAAAAAAAAGAAACTATATCAGTGGTTGTCAGGAGCCTGGAATCGGGGGAAGAGTAAATAATAAAGTAGCATGAAGGAAATTTTGGCTACAGTTGAATTGTTCTAGATCTTGATTTTGTGGTGGTTAAACTGCAGGCACTTGTAAAAACTCAAAGAACTTTGGGTGCCTGGTGGCTCTTGATTTTGGCTCAGGTCATGATCTCAGGGTCATGAGATTAAGCCCGGTGTTGGGCTCCTCACTCAGTGTGGAGTAGGCTTGAGATTCTTTCTCTTTGGGGCACCTGGGTGGCTCAGTCGTTAAGTGTCTGCCTTCAGCTCGGGTCATGATCCCAGGGTCCTGGGATTGAGTACCACATCGGGCTCCCTGCTCAGTGGGAAGCCTGCTTCTACCTCTCCCACTCCCCCTGCTTGTGTTCCCTTTCTTGCTTTCTCTCTGTCAAATAAATAAATAAATAAAATCTTAAAAAAAAACAACAAACATTCTTTCTCTTTCTCCCTGTCCCTTTACCCCTCCCCCTGCTCATGCACACTCTATAAATAAATAAATAAAATCTTTAAAAAGAACCTCAAAGAATTTTGCACTAATAACAGTGAATTTTACTGTATGCATATTATACCTTAATTTAAAAAATGGAAAATATGTAGCACATAGGAAGATAAAATTGTGTATGTTTTTAATACCCTTTTGATTGTGTTTTTGATCTCTCTAGAATAAGTACCCATTGCTTTTATAATAAATAAGATGAAGCTATTTTTTTAAAGACTCACAAAAACTGGATCAAGGATTTTATTATTATTATTATTATTTAATGATCTCTATGCCCAACGTGGGGCTTGAACTCATAGCCCCAAGATCAAGAAGTCACATGACTGAGCCAGCCAGATGCCCTCAGATCAAGGATTTTAAAATCTTATTTGTTAGATTAATAATATGCAGTTTATGAATGTGATAATGATATAATTATTAAGAACAGTGTTCTCAGAAGTATTAATTGGCACATCAATTTGGCAATATTATTAACACATATATTCATATTCCTTGATCCAAAAACCCCACTTATAGGTATTTAACCTAGAAATATGTTGGCTTATGGGCATTACATAAATACTGTTTTAAATAAAGAATAATTCAAAATAATTGAAGTAAACAATGAGTTAAAATAGTCATGATAAATTTGTTATTGAATATGACTACAGTTTATGACTATGTTCTGACACATAAAGATTTATAACACATACCGTTAAATAGGAAATGCAAGTTACAAACAGCAGTGTAATAGCTTTCTTTACTAAATATTACAGGCTAGCTAATTGTTAAGTGCTTTGTAGAGATGCCTTGTTTAATGGCCACCACAGATAATAACTATTATGTTTTCACCATTATTAGCTCTATTTTTACAAATGAAGAAAACGAGGCATTTAGTTTGGATGTACATCTTCTCATCAGAGCCATACGGTGATACTTCGAGATACTTGGAGATATTTCTCTGCCTCCTAAATACCTTAAGACCACTTGGTACAACTATAGCAATGAGGAGTTTGTGATGGTAGATAGCATCTCTGAGCTGTGAATTTCTCTTGGATCCCACACTTCAAATCTAGGGGAACTTCTAGCTTCTCACCTACTTCATGCTGGGGTAGAGGAGAAACTCCAAAGGGGGCAAAGTGCAAAAATAGAAGATAGAGCAGGTCCATGGCATTAGAGGATGAAGCTATTTAGGTGAACACAAAATCAAAGACCCCAATTCTTTTGGGTGGGGGGCCATATCCTGTTTATCTCCTTTAGAGACACAGTATGCTTGGAAGCAGTAAGTTCCAGAGGGAATCATTACATCAGTAAGGAGAGTCAGAACACGATTGGACAGGTCACTGCAAGAGCTCATTCTTTAACTCTTAATCACCGTTATCTGCATCCTATAGAATAGTCAATTACAGAAAGTTTGTATAAAGTAATACAAATCTGAAGCAATAAGAGTAAGAACATAAAGACTATGAGTATGTAGCTCAGGATACAAATCATTTCTGTGTGAAGCCTTCTTAATCCTGAAGGTCCATAAATCAAGTCTGATTTGGAGGAAGTCTTAGCAGTCGGTGACATCTGAGCACCAAATCCATTCCCGAACTAGCTGAGGGACGCTATGATCTTGACGACTTCCCTCAATCTCTCTAAACTTCGCTTTTTTCATTGCAGATGAAGAAGCTGGACTCAGTACTTCTATGTTCCTTCACTGTCTGGTTTCCCAAAATGACCAAAATTACCTTGAATGTATATCTATACTATAAATACTATGTATATACCATGTTTAATATATATCATGTATCTATCTTAATAATATATATTATTAATATATTATTAATATATTAATGCATATTATTATTTCTATATGTTATTAAAATGGTATCACTCAAGGAGATAAAAACAGGTATATATTTTACTCTTGGCATCTAAGCCTCCAGAATACAAGACCCACCATCAGAAAGGAGGCAGTTCAAGCGGGAACAACTCATTCTTTTTCCACGGACCTTGGCCCCAAACCATGAAGGCAGATCTGTAATGCCTCTTTTCCTTAGATTAGTTGCACATAAACAGCCTGGGACCTTCCCAGAGGGAGACATCCCATTCCATCCTTCATAGCTTCCACCTCATCCTCCTTCCCTCCCCCTCACACACCTACCACAAACCAGGACCACAGCCTGATTCTCAACTGAGGACTGGGATTGAATCTGAGTATCATTAGGAGAAAGTGATTTCACCTTCCTGTTCCTTGCTTTTCTCATAGGAGGAGAATAAAGAGGAGAAAACTATCAACCATCTACGGCTAGGCTGGAGACTAAGTGACACAAAGTAATTGCAAAACACCAGGTAGTAAATATGGGATCAAGAAATAGACTGTAAATGTCAGTTTGGGGATACCCACTTTCTGCCATTGTACTCTATAGGAAATTAATGATTCTTCAGTGCTTGCCTCATGCAGATCTTTGCCTGGGGCAACTTCCGGATGGAATCCACCTTTGTGCAGCATGAGAACCAGGAAATATGGTTGCACAGCTACTGAGCTGTTGGCGCCTGATGTCACACAGGGCTAGAATCACGTGAAACAGAGAAGCGCCTTCATGCAAACCACCAGAAGGTGCCTCATTTGACAGACCAATGAGCCATTATGCCCCCTCAGGGACACCAATTCTGAATAGATTGTTCTGAGCTAAAGCAATTCTTCCCTGGGACACAGGGCTTGGCAACTGAAGCACAGAGGGTTTCTGTGCTAACATGTGCCCTCAGCTGGCTTTCTCTGAGCAGGGCACAGCCCATTCAACGTGCCTGTTCTTTTTTTTTTTTTTTTAAAGATTTTATTTATTTATTTGACAGAGAGAGACACAGCGAGAGAGGGAACACAAGCAGGGGGAGTGGGAGAGGGAGAAGCAGGCTCCCCGCTGAGCTGGGAGCCCGATGCGGGGCTCGATCCCAGGACCCTGGGATCGACCTGAGCCGAAGGCAGACGCTTAATGACTGAGCCACCCAGGCGCCCCATCAACGTGCCTGTTCTTGACCCCAGCCTTACCTTGTCAAGATCACACCCAAAGTATAAATGCAAATACTGCTTGGGACCTGGGTGCCCCACCCTGGTCTGCGGGCCACAGACGATTTGCTTTTAAGCAACATGCCAATGAGTTAGACTCCTGTTATAGCACTCCTTTAGAAAAAAAAAGTTTATTATTTTTTCCAAATTATAAAAATTATACATGCAAAATATGGCCATAGGATGGCATAGAAAAGTATAGAAAAGGAAATAAAAAGTACCCATTAGCACTCTATTCCCTAGCAGCAATAGCTGGTATATCTATCACTGAATTTGTCTCATATATATGTATTTTTTTTTTTAAGATTTTATTTATTTATTTGAGAGAGAGAGAATGAGAGAGAGCACATGAGAGGGGGGAGGGTCAGAGGGAGAAGCAGACTCCCCGCTGAGCAGGGAGCCCGATGCGGGACTCGATCCAGGGACTCCAGAATCATGACCTGAGCTGAAGGCAGTCGCTTAACCAACTGAGCCACCCAGGCGCCCTGTATTTTTTTTTCTATAATTAGATTTTACCTCCACAGACATCATTGTTAATGGCATCCAGGTTTTTAGAAGGATGTTATAGTGAGGTTTTCCATATGTGAATCAGGATTAAGTGGTTGTTTCTTGTTTTTCCTGGACTTGATGACCTTGAAGAAGAAAGAGATGAAGACAGAGCAGTTGAGATGCGGCTGATTCTTTCTCCCTGCACTGACTCTTTCTCCCAGCCACTGACTACATCCCCTTCTCTCTTCTCCCTGTAAAGCTCTCACTCTCACCTCTCCCCTTCAGTGAACTCCTGTCCTTTGATTCACCCCCTGACCTTGATTGAGATCCTGAAATGAGATAGTCACTCACACACAGCATGAGTACATGTGGACAGGCAGGAGAGAGGAAAGAGCAGGTGTACTCAATGCAAAGAGCTGAGGGGGAAGGTTCTCACTGGGAAGACAGGTGGGAGGAGAGTGTGAGGCTGTGAGGGAAAGGCTGGAAAGTTTGAGGGCCTCAGAACTGGAGAGACCTAAGAGTGGGGGACTGCTGTGTGTCTGAATGCATCAACCTTTGTATTGATCTGTTTCACTCTGGTATTAGCCTTTGATGGTCTTCCCACAATCCCTCATGGATGTGTGTGACAAAGAACATGGACTTAGTCCTTTAGTACCAACCCCATCTGTCTGTGTAGACCAGTCTGTATATCTCATTAAAGGCAGCTCACTTTGTGTTTTGAGATATTCAGGGGCACTGTTGATCATTTAGGTCTGGTATGAGCTCTCTTTAACATCCTCTGGGATAGATGACATTTCCCCCATATTTTAGATGAAGGACCTGAGGTTCCTGGTATTTAAGTCCACTAGCCAGTTAGGAAATCACAGAGCCAGGATTGAAGCAAATCTGCCTTAATGAAGCCCAAATTTACTAAATAATCTTCCTTCTTTGATACATTCAACCAATTCTACAATACTTAGCTAATTTTATATACTTGGAAGGCCTCTCTAGGGTTTCTCTCTTCAACATGATAAAAATCTCTTTCTTTAAAAAAAGAAAGAATGATGGAAAGGACAGTCAGTCTAGTTTTCTTTAAGTCTTCTATGTTGGAAAAATGATGTTCCCCAGAAGTTCCCACCTTGATGAAACTGTGAATTACAGATCTCAGCTGTCTCGGATCCGCACTTAGTTCAAAGCAGATGAGTTTGAGTTTATCACCTTCCTCACAGTTGACTTTGGTAAGTCGTCCATACACCAAGACCTCCATCTTCCCTGTATTATCTTGTATTTCATACAAAATGATGTGTTCATTCAACACTTTTTTCTGCAAAAGAAAATCAACACCCTTCTCCTGAGAACTGGATCAGGTTTCCACATCTATGAGAAACACAGGGTGTGGGTGTAAACTTTTGTCTTTGACAGGTTAATATGAGCTGGAGGTTCAGAACGAGGGGTGGAAAATAGCTTAAAATATTTTGTTCAGAGAATTCTTATGAGTCTGAGGATTGCCACTAATCATCGTTAAGTAGATTATGTCATTTCTGTAATTCTTCTCCATTGTCTATTTATTCACTCCTCCCATTCTGCCTGAATCCTGAATCTAGATCATCTAGTCCCATTGTTCTAGGTTCCTTCTCACTCACTACTCACTAATTCTGCATATGCACCTGTGTGCACAGCCACTTACACAGAGGGCACAGGAAACAACAGGGGTAGAAGGAAAGAGCCACCCTAGAAGACACCTTTAATGGAATATGGAACAAAACTTCCCATAGAAAAGTAAGGTTGGCTCAGCTTAGTATTTCCATGATGAGTTGGGACAGAAATACCTTCACTAATTCTAAGAATTAACCCAAATTCTGCATTTTATTGACCATATTAATAAATTGAGTATTTTTAAAAAATTTTTTGGGGGGAGGGGTCATTGGAGATGGAGAGAGAGAATCTTAAGCAGACTCCACACCCAGCATGGAGACCAATGTGGGGCTCAATCTCAGAACCCTGAAATCATGACCTGAGCTGAAATCAAGAGTTGGACGCTTAACTGACTGAGCCACCCAGGTACCCCATAAATTGAGTATTAAACAACATGATTTCTCTAGTCTTTTCAATATCTATATTTCCTATTAAATAATGCCAAAGTCAGTTGCCCTACAATATTTTGATGAGTGAATGTGAAGAGAAGAGCACTTTAGGATTCAGATGATCAGAATCTTAGCTAACTGTTGGAAACAGCTGCATTTTAGGGCAGAGTCATCTTTTTATTTTTTACTCTGGTTGTCAAAACTAGCATCCAAGTTTGGGAGGGTAACTATTCACAGTTAACTTAAGCTGTCACTGAAATGGATGAAACAAAACTCAAACAAAATCATAAGGATATGTATACTAATAGAAAGTCTGCACTGTACTGGACCAGAATACCTGTGAGTGGATCATCATATCTGATAAGTGCCAAGGATTCTGGGAAATCTCTTTCTGTAGAATTTGCATGGCATTACCTTGGGAAGCAGAATATGACGAGTTTTTCTATCCCATATCCTGAAGTGGGAAGCTTCTACCCAACTACTCTGGTCACTGGGGCCTTGAGTTCCCGTGATTCAGAAGTTAACCGAACTCTACTTGGCAAGTCAGACCTTCAAATTCTGGGGTTGCAGAAGAAATAGTACAAAACAATGGTGTTGGGCTTACCTTATGCACCTGATATATCCCACTCACAAATGTTCCTGGCTCCTGTGAGTAAAGATTATTGATTTTAGGAGTTGCATTTGCATTTTGGATCAGTCTGCTCGAGATTTCCATCTTTCGGTCAGCATTGACATCAGACACACAAGTGGCATCATACACCTCCAGGAACCCATTGCGACCATAGTAATCTGATATGGCGATGACTTTCTTTGGGATGAACTTCTCCTTCAGGCTGACATGAAAAACCTTCACTTGGAAGAATTGGCTCTCAGTAGCCACAGTGGCATGGAACATCTTTCTCTCTGCTTCCATGAGATCATATGCAAATGGTTCTGTTGCTTTCAGCACCATCACTTCCTTGGGGCCCTTCTGGAAACCCTCTTCCATGGAAGCTTCTCTAGGTACAGCCTTCAATCTTGGTTTCTACTTGGAAGTACACATCAAAAAGAGACACAGTTAAGAAAGGGAATACACAGTCACTTTCTAGTGCGACTCACCTAGGGTCAATGTTGAGCCTCCAGAAATACCTGATTGGATAGGTTTGGAAAAAAATGAGCTGGGCAGAAATGGCTGACCTGGTATAATGTAGCCTGTGAAAGACATGGAGAAGAGTTAAACATAATTTTATTTATTTTCTTCATTATTTTATGAGTTTGGGAGGAATAATATTTTTTCTTTAAATGTGATTAACCCAAGATAAAAAGTATTTCTCCTAGGAGAGCTCTGTCAAGCATAGAGGAAGTGGGCAATAGCCATGTTGTCATGAAGGGATTCCCAGTAGAGATGAAGATGAATATATCATCTTAATTTACCAATCAATTCATTTTAGTGAGCAAAGTAAGATATAAATAGGGAAGGAAATAAATCATCCTAACAGCACTGACAGTGGGAAAGGCTCCAGTCAGAAACCACTGATTTCATCTGGAATCAATCCCAGTAGAAGTCACAAATGAAAGACGGAAATCACTAGCCCTTTTCCAAGAAGTACTGTGCTAAAAAGAGATTAAACAAGCACTGGAGAATCTCATGAACTTCACTAATTTGGAAGTGCCCTGGCTCCAGGCTCTTGAAGAGTAGCAGAATGAGCCATCTGAAAATATGCTTCCTTGGCATAGAATTATTTTGAGCTGATTATTTAAAAAAATAGCAGATATAGGAAAAGCTCTACAAAGAGAATAGAAATTGCCCTTTTGTAAGGAACATGCATTTGTAAGAGTGTCTCTCTCTCCACCAGGAAGAGAAGGACAACTCTAAATCACAAGAAAATCTTATGATGAAAAATGACCTGACTGAAATCTGCATAACAAACACCCTTGTTTATCCACTTTTCCTGGTAATCTTCATAAGTGGCCTCCACACCTTCCTTTCTCTTGTCTTTAGCTGAAGATGATATTTTAGCCAGTGGTTTAGTCCACCTCAGGGAGTTACTAATTTTTCCCTGGTTTCTCCCAGGTATATATGAAGTATATATATTATAACAAACTTCTGCTTGTTTTTCTCTTATTAATCTGTCTCTTATTATAGGGGTCTCAGCCAAGAACTTAGAAGGGTAAAGGAGAAGAATAATTTCCCCCTTTACCACACTTCTCTGTTGGAATAATGGCAGGACCCTGAGGAGAAGCATGTCAGTGGAGAAGCCAAGTGTCAGGGGAATTTCTCTGACATCCTGTCTCCCCAGTGGCCTGAATCACATAAGAGTTTCAGGAGAGCACTTGGAATTGGAGGGAAGTATTGATATGTAAAAGGAAGTAAAGGAAGTATGAAGGCAAGGAGAAAGGTGGGTCCCAGGGTCAAGTATGAGGCCACAAGTTGGCTGTCACGGAGACTAGCAATGCTTCTTGTGATCTGACTTGGAAAACTATTATGGATCTACCCTGAGGCTCATGGAAGCATATCTAATGGACACATGTTCTTCTTTTGCTCATTGCAGGTCTGAGGAATACTGGAAATAACCTAAAGTCAAATAATACAGAATTATTTTTCTAATTTATGGAATAACTGTGTAATTTCCCTTATACATTAAAATAAGAATTTAAATCTACATTGGTTGACTTAAATAGCACTTTAAGGCATATTAAGTGACAAAAAACCCCTCAAACTGGATTATAGAAAAATATATGTCATGTGACAAAATGATATTCTTTGTACATACATAACAAAGGGTAAAATCAGAAAGACTATTTTCAAAATGTCATGTTTGATGTAAGAGAGATCACACAGTAAAATTTTACCTATTTTTGTCTGTGTATCTCCATTTCCTAAATTTCCTAAGATAATATTATTTATATAATAAAAAATGGGAGAGGAAGAATGGGTGATAGTGCTCTGGTTGACTCTGTATTTCTACACCCTCTTCCACATAAGTGGTCTCTGTTGTGCATTGAGGAAAACACAAAAATAAAATCAAACAAATAAATGACCAATTAAATCCCATGTGGAATAAGGATGATTATCTGTCCAGTGGCTCTTAGGTTATTTTAATGCAGAGGGGGATATAATTAGAGCTGGAATTTGAATTTAGGTGGGATATTAAAATATATACTCAGTAAATAAATGAGTGATTTAAATAAAGAAATAATTGTATGCAGTTGGGGATTACTAAGAAGCCCTTCCAGGGTTCTTTTGATCCTTGTCAACAGCTAACAAGGAAGGGAAATACTGGAAACAGGCACTCTGTACCTTGGTTAAGGAACTGCTGGATGGGATTTTTGGCAGCGTCTGCAGAATGCAGGGAGGACTTGCATTTGGGCATGTGCTGGTTGCTGAAAGTTCTAGAAACTGACTCTATTCCTGGAATAGCTGCATCCTTATGGTGTCATCAATTTTGGTGGTTATATCATCTCTTCTCTGTAGAAAAATAGACTTTTGTTCTTAGTTGTGGTTGTTTCCGAAATTAGATGAAATATAATATGCTTTCATTTCATTCTTACTCTGTAAAACAGGACCTTAACTCTACTAATTAGATCCTGTTGCAGGGGGAATAGGAGTGAATATGTAGACATCCTACCCTTACCTTTCTCTCATCTCAACCAGGATTAGACATCTCACTCTGCAAATCTTAAAAGTTCAGATGACTGAAATTTCATTGGTCTGAGATAGAATATGGTGGCTCTACATTTCCTGCAGAACTGGTCCAAATCAACTGATGAGGTATAACTCTCAAAGCTATCTTTCTGTTGTAAGGATAGCATGTCTCACACAAGGTTGGCCACATTTATGGGCACTTATTAACTCAGCCTTTCTCATCAAGTACATCAGTTTCTATCATCCGCTCTTTAGCATTTAGAAGATCCAGCCCTCCACCCAGTAGGAGCTCTAATCCTAACCCTGACGGAGATGTTCTCTCAACATGTGATTTCTCAGCCACGGATTCTGCTATCTTTACAGAGTGGGCCAGACAACCTGAAACTTTCAGCATTCTGAGCTGTATTCGGTATATTCAATATCCCACCCAAACCATGGCCACTGGCTGTACATTTTCTCAGTAAGTTTGGGAAATATTGTGGTAATCATGGGCCTTTACTGCCTTTCATTGCTTAATGAAAGCTATTAAATATTCATCACATTAGTTAATTAGCCACAGTTTTTAGCACTTCTGACATTCAGTAATCTAATTTTTAAAGTGCCAATTGTTGAAAGGCATATTACAGAGCTGCCTCTGTAGAGCAGCTTCTTGATTACACAACCTCTGGCCACCCTGGGCACCTGGCATATGGAAACAACCCCAAACCTAACACTAACTGCTTAAATGTATAAAAATGAATTGTAGACATTTTAACGTCAGCATATCTACTCTAGATTTGGGATATGCTAACTAAATGTTAAACTTTAGATTTCAAAGTCTGGATTTGAATCCAGTACCAAGTAAATGCCCAGTGCACAGAAATGTCTTCATCATTGTTTTCCCATGGATTTTTAGAAGTTTGTACTCTGCTCTGATAAACAGTATTTCATGGTTTATGATGACCCTGTTGACGGCAACTCTGTTATAAGTAACCTTATAAAAGTAGTCTCTCCATTCATATCAGCCACATACACTTAGTCATCTTATTGACAGGACCATCTTGAGCTATTACTTTTTAAAATTCAGTGATCATAAACTGGAATCACAGTAATAGGACTTAGATGATGAAAATATAATCTTCATTTGGATAATAGTTAGAATGCATAAGCAGGTCATTTTCTCTAAGAGTATATCCTCCACCTCCCACCTGGTTCATGAATCATGCCATTCTATGCTGTTTGTTTCAAGGACATATAAAGCAGAAATCAAAGGTGAGAGTGAGCTGTTCATGGCTTTGGATCCAAAAAAGCAAACAAAGCACACATCTTAGAGAAAATCCTTGGGAGACCCTGAGATGAGTCAGAGCAAGGCTTTCCTACTCACGTAATGAAGCACAGACTGAATGGTTAGAAACCCTTTTGGCAGGGGTCCTGCACATGTGGCCAGACCCCAGAGGAGGAATGATACCACAGGACACATAGGTGTAAGAGAGTGAGGGGGCAGAGGAGCCTCCCTGGGGTCCCTGTGCTCCCAGGAAGTTTCAGGGCAGCAGAAGGATTCTTAGTGAGAAGAAATGACCATGTCACATGTATAGGCAGATGGGGATGTAGAAACTGTCACTTCCAAGCCAGTATGCATGGCAAAAGTAGAGTTATCTTGAGATGGGCACTATGTCATTGTCATGGCAAAGAGACAGGAGGACTGAAGTTCCAATGACCAGATAAGGTCGCAGCCATGGCTGCCTGGTCTGGAGGCAAACAGGCAGAGGTTGCTAGCTCCGTCCAATAAGTATGTCCTGGAGAGACTGTGGAGGAATTATCAGTTATGGGGGCTGACATCAGGAAGAAGAAGGAGACAGAACTTGAGGAACTTGTCCATAAGGAGTCTGCCCTCAACTCTATGTGTGTTTTGGGGGCAGGGTCCAGCCTGGGTCAGGGGGCAGCTTAGGGTCAGGTAATAAAGTATACTAGAAGTCAGTGATTAAAATGCTGCCTTGCCCATCCCTCAGGTTGCCTGTGTATTCACCACAGAATGGACATTGTACCCCCGAGTGCTGGCAGCCCCTGGGGCCACATCAGGGCAGTACAAAGGCAGGCTAGGAAAAAGTTGATGCACGTTTGTAGGCACTCACCTGTCTACCCTTGTCCTGTCTTTCCCTATCATCTGAGGTTATTGTCCGGGAAGAAAGGAGAACTTAGTCTCATTATAATGGTTGCAAAAGCTGGGCAGGAAAAATAAAGGGATCCATGAAAGGGAGCAGTGGGAAGATGGGATGCATTGTGGTCTGAGCATCGGGGAGGACTTGTCAGAGGAAATGAGTCAGGCTGGGGTCTGAAGGGGGTGTCTCTGGGCCAGTGAAAAGATAGGAGCAATGAATTCCAAATCAAAGAAACGGAATATGTTCACACAGCTGACGTGGGAGGAAGCACTGAATGCTGGACATGAATCCAGAAATTGGTCAGCAAATCAAGGAGAAATGGATGAATGGAGAACATAGGGGATAAACATCCTCTTATGTTCATCTCTAGTTGTCTGGCCACTCCCCACCCCTACTCCTGGACCAAGCCAGTAATCCTCTTGAGATCAAGAATTATGTCAAAATGCATACCTTGCAGGTAGCAAAGAACATCTAATGCAACAAAATCTCAGTATCTGCATTTGATAAAATAATGGGTGTTTTTTGGTAATTAGAATATTTATACATCGTAGGGAATTACTGAGAAGCTCTCTCAAGGTCATCACAAGTCCTATAGCATGTTGTGGAAGGGTACAATTAATGGGAAGAGGAAGATGGTACCTTGGTTGAGGAACTGCTGCCTGGGGTTGGTGGAGGCATCTGAGGAGTCTGAGGGTTGCTGCACGTTGACTGTGTACTGGTTACAGAAGGTCCTGGAAGCTGTGTCTGTCCCTGGGTTGGCTGGGTCCTCTTGGATTCATCATTTTGTATGGTTTTGATTTTCTTTTTCTGAAAGTAGTTTTCCCCCCTTGGTTACTGGTGTTCAATGTTAGATAAACCAGGACATCTCTATCTCTCTTCCCATGTCTCCCTCCCTCACTTTCCCTCTTTCTCTCTCTCTCTCTCTCTCTGTCTCTCTCTCCCCTTCTTCCCCTAACACACACCAGGATCTTCACTCTGGAATTATGGCATGTATTTAGATACCTCCAACATCTCCCCAGCTCAGATACCAACCAGGATTACAAATGTCGCTCTGCAAATTTTAACAACTCAGATAATTCCAATTTCATTGCTCTGTTGTGGAATCCTCTTCTACTTCTGCTGCAGACTGGCCTATGTCTCTTCTCCAGGAGAACACTGGATTTATGGACTGATAGAAAATCCTACCAGGGTCTAAGAAGAGCAGGTCTCAGAAGAATATCGGCTGGGTTTAAGGATGTTTTATTAACCAGGTCTTTATCTCCTTGCACCTTAAGCAAACAAGCATACTGGTATCCATCCCCTGTTCTTCGGGTCTAGAAAACCCCATCCTCATCCATTTGGATGCTTTGTTTATCATCCCAGAGAGATTCCCTTGGACTCATAATTCTAGAGGCAGGATTCTGGACAAGCAACCAAATCCTTCAGAGATCTCAACAACATACAGGCTCCTGCAGGAATTGCCCCAGGCCATTCCAAGTACCTGGATTTTCATACTTGTTAAGCAAGGGCAGGAAGTGTCAGTAAAATCTATGTTCTTGACTACTATTACTGTTACGAGTGAAAGCCCATTTGTGCCATTCTACATCTAATATAAATTTGCCACAGTTCTACCACTTTGGGGACTCATTTGTCTGATAAATAAAGTGTCACTAGTTGATAAAGCTGTGGATGAGGGAGCTCCTGAAAATAGCTGCTCTGGTGTGCAGCTTCCTGATTAGAGCCACATCGGACCACCCCCTGCCCCTCATTGTCATTAGAAGGTTTTCAGAGCCTGGGCAGTGGAAACAAAGTCCAGACATGACCCTGTCTAGTCATCAATTAAAAAAAATAAATTAATAACTATTGTAACATCCACACCCCTGCCATGTACTCAGTAGTGCCCAGTAAGAGTTCAAGTGTAGAGTTAGTGACTTTCACCGTCTGGCTGACCCTTTTAGAAGACTGTTAACTTCTACGAACCTCACTTTTCTGTTCGGTGATATGGGACTAACAATACCATCTGAGTGATAAATAATAAATGGTCTTATAAGGAAGAACAAGATCACACATAAAAAGCACGTTAAGCACACAGATTTTAGAGTCCAGGTCATTAAATGTTCAATACAAAGATATGTCAAGATTGTCCTTAGTATTTCATGTCTATAGAGGGATCTTGTATTTCCCCTCTGATCCACAGATGCTTCAGACTGTATGTGTGACCCTCTCCATGGCATGGGGACTAAAGACGCTTCTCTATTCACCTCTGCCACATGCAGTAATTTAAAGTCATTGACAAGAACTTTGTGAGGTTCTGTCAAAATCAGTTAAACTGAAAGCATCTACTGAATAACAGGATTTAGATGCTGAAAATACACTTTCTGATTGGATGACGTTTAAATATCTCGCTGATTATTTTCCCAGAGATGATTTCTTCATCTTCCTGCCCCGTTCAGCACACAGGATGGTCTGAGCTGTTTGCTTCAGGAAGGAGACAGCAGCAGGTCTCAAGGATAATATTGTTCTGTGTCCGGTTTGAGGCAACAGAACAAACAGAACCCACACCTTAGAGAAAATCCTTGGGAGCACCCGAGGTGAGTCAGAACAAAGCTTTCCTGCTCACCTCATGAAGCATAGGGTGAACAGTCAGACACATTTTTTTGCAGACCTCCCTCACAGGTGGCCAGACCCCAGAGGAGGAATGAGAGCTTGGGGTATCTACATTTAAGAAGCTGAGGGGTAGAGGAGCCCCCCCGGGTTCCCTGTGCTCCCAGGAAGTTTCAGGGCAGCAGAAGGATTCTTATGTGAGAAGAAATGACCATGTCACATGTACAGGCAGATGGGGATGTAGAAAGTGTGAGTTCCAAGTCAGTATGCACGGCCAAAGTAGAGTTGTCCTGAGATGGGCCCTATGTCATTTGATGGCAGAAAGATGGGGGTTGAAGTTCCAATGACCAGATGAGGTCACAGCCATGGCCACCTGGCCTGAGGCAAACAGGCACAGGTTGGTAGCTCCATCTCATAAGCATATCCTGGAGAGACTGTGGAGGGAGTATGAGTTATGGGGGCTGACAACAGCAAGAATAAGAAGAGAGAATGTGAGAAACCTTGTCCATAGGGAGTCTGCCCTCAACTGCTATGTGTGTGTGTTGAGGGTTGGGTCCAGCCTGGGTCAGGGGTAGCTTGGATGGGGTAACAAACTATACTAGACGTCAGTGATTAAAATGCTGCCTTGCCCAACCCTCAGGTTGCCTGTGTATTCACCACAGAATGGACATTGTACCCCCGAGTGTTGGTAGCCCCTGGGGCTACGTCAGGGCAGTACAAAGGCAGGCTAGGAAAAAGTTGATGCACGTTTGTAGGCACTCACCTGTCTACCCTTGTCCTGTCTTTCCCTATCATCTGAGGTTATTGTCCGGGAAGAAAGGAGAACTTAGACTCATTATAATGGTTGCAAAAGCTGGGCAGGAAAAATAAAGGGATCCATGAAAGGGAGCAGTGGGAAGATGGGATGCATTGTGGTCTGAGCATCAGGAAGGACTTGCCAGAGGAAAGGAGTCACGCTGGTGTCTGAAGGGATGCCTCTGGGCCAGCGAAAAGATAGAAGCAGTGAATTCCAAATCAAAGAAATGGAATATGTTCACACAGCTGACGTGGGAGCAAGCACTGAATGCTGGACATGAATCCAGAAATTGGTCAGCAAATCAAGGAGAAATGGATGAATGGAGAACATAGGGGATAAACATCCTCTTATGTTCATCTCTAGTTGTCTGGCCACTCCCCACCCCTACTCCTGGACCAAGCCAGTAACCCTCTTGAGATCAGGAATTATGTCAAAATGCATACCTTGCAGGTAGCAAAGAACATCTAATGCAACAAAATCTCAGTATCTGCATTTGATAAAATAATGGGTGTTTTTTGGTAATTAGAATATTTATACATCGTAGGGAATTACTGAGAAGCTCTCTCAAGGTCATCACAAGTCCTATAGCATGTTGTGGAAGGGTACAATTAATGGGAAGAGGAAGATGGTACCTTGGTTGAGGAACTGCTGCCTGGGGTTGGTGGAGGCATCTGAGGAGTCTGAGGGTTGCTGCACGTTGACTGTGTACTGGTTACAGAAGGTCCTGGAAGCTGAGTCTGTCCCTGGGTTGGCTGGGTCCTCTTGGATTCATCATTTTGTATGGTTTTGATTTTCTTTTTCTGAAAGTAGTTTTCCCCCCTTGGTTAATGGTGTTCAATGTTAGATAAACCAGGACATCTCTATCTCTCTTCCCGTGTCTCCCTCCCTCACTTTCCCCCCTTCTCTCTGTCTCTCTCTCTCTTCCTTTATATCCTTCCCTCACTTTCCCTTCTTCTCTCTCTGTCTCTCTTTCTCTTGCTTTCTTTTTCTTCCCCTAACACACACCAGGATCTTCACTCTGGAATTACGGCACGTATTTAGATACCTCCAACATCTCCCCAGCTCAGACACCAACGAGGATTACAAATGCCGCTCTGCAAATTTTAACAACTCAGATAATTCCAATTTCATTGCTCTGTTGTGGAATCCTCTTCTACTTCTGCTGCAGACTGGCCTATGTCTCTTCTCCAGGAGAACACTGGATTTATGGACTGATAGAAAATCCTACCAGGGTCTAAGAAGAGCAGGTCTCAGAAGAATATCGGCTGGGTTTAAGGATGTTTTATTAACCAGGTCTTTATCTCCTTGCACCTTAAGCAAACAAGCATACTGGTATCCATCCCCTGTTCTTCGGGTCTAGAAAACCCCATCCTCATCCATTTGTTTATCATCCCAGAGAGATTCCCTCGGACTCATAATTCTAGAGGCAGGATTCTGACCAAGCAACCAAATCCTTCAGAGATCTCAACAACACACAGGCTCCTGCAGGAATTGCCCCAGGCCATTCCAAGTACCTGGATTTTCATACTTGTTAAGCAAGGGCAGGAAGTGTCAGTAAAATCTATGTTCTTGACTACTATTACTGTTACGAGTGAAAGCCCATTTGTGCCATTCTACATCTAATATAAATTTGCCACAGTTCTACCACTTTGGGGACTCATTTGTCTGATAAATAAAGTGTCACTAGTTGATAAAGCTGTGGATGAGGGAGCTCCTGAAAATAGCTGCTCTGGTGTGCAGCTTCCTGATTAGAGCCATATCGGACCACCCCCTGCCCCTCATTGTCATTAGAAGATTTTCAGAGCCTGGGCAGTGGAAACAAAGTCCAGACATGACCCTGTCTAGTCATCAATTAAAAAAAATAAATTAATAACTATTGTAACATCCACACCCCTGCCATGTACTCAGTAGTGCCCAGTAAGAGTTCAAGTGTAGAGTTAGTGACTTTCCACCATCTGGCTGACCCTTTTAGAAGACTGTTAACCTCTACAAACCTCATTTTTCTCATCAGTGAAATGGGACTAACAATACCATCTGAGTGATAAATAATAAATGGTCTTATAAGGAAGGACGAAATCACTCACACAAAGCACATATATATTAGAATCTAGTCACTAAATATTCAATACAGAGAAATGTCAAGAATGTCATTAGTATTTCATGTCGATGCAGGGAGCATGTATTTCCATTCTGATGTGCAGATATTTCATGCTATATGTGTGACCCTCTTGATGGCATGAGAAAGCTTTCCTAAAAGAAATCAAAACCCCAAACAGATAGCACCTCACACCAGTCAGAATGCTTAAAATTAACTTGTCAGGAAACAAATTTTGTCAAGGATGGAGAGAAAGGGGAACCCTCTTACACTGTGGATGATGTAAGGTGGTGCAGCCAGTCTGGAAAACAGTATGGAGATTCCTGAAAAAGTTGAAAATAGAGCTACCCTATGACCCAGCAATTGCACTACTAGGTATTTACCCCAAAGATACAAATGTAATGATCCAAAGGGACACCTGCACCCCAATGTTTATACCAGCAATATCCAAAGTATCCTAACTGGGGAAAGGGCCAAGATGTCCATCGACAGATGAATGGATAAAGAAGATGCGGCATACACACACACACACACACACAGGAATATTACTCAGCCATCAAAAAGGATGGATTCTTGCCATTTACATCGAAATGGGTGGAACTGGAGGGTATTTTGCTGAGCTAAATAAGTCAATCAGAGAAAGACAAGTATCATATAAAGTTTCACTCTTATGTGGAATATAAGAAACAGTGTAGAGGATCATCGGGGAAGGGAGGGAAAATGGAATGGAAAGAAATCAGAGAGGGAAACAAACCATGAGAGACTGTTAATTATAGGAAACAAACTGAGGGTTGCTGGAGTGGAGGTGTGTGGGGGGATGGGGTCACGGGGTGATGGGCATTAACAAGGGCACCAGAGGTGATGAGCACTGGGTGTTATGTGTAACTGATGAATTGTTGAACTGTACATATGAAACTAATGATGTATGGTATGTTGGCTAATTGAATTTAAATAAAAAAAAGAAGCTTCTCTACTTCTGCCACATGTAGTAATTTAAACACATTGACAAGAACATTGTGAGCTTCTCTCAAATTCATTTAAGCTGAAAGCTTCTATCTGAATAACAGGATTCATATGCTGAAAATATACTTTCTGAATGGATAATGTTTAAAAAATAATAACTGATCATTTTCCCAGAGGTTATTTCCCTCATCTCTCTGCCTTCAGCACACAGGATGTTCTGAGCAGTTTTGTTTTTTTTTTAATTTTATTATGTTATGTTAGTCACCATACAATACATTATTAGTTTTTGATGTAGTGATCCACGATCCATTGTTTTCATATAACACCCAGTGCTCCATGCAGTATGTGCCCTCCTTAATACCCATCACTGGGCTAACCAATCCCCCCTCCCCCCTCCCCTCTAAAACCCTGTTTGTTTCTCAGGTCCATAGTCTCTCATAGTTCATCTCTCCCTCCAATTCCCCCCCACCATTTTCCCCTTCCTTCTCCTAATGTCCTCCATGTTATTCCTTATGTTCCACAAATAAGTGAAACCATATGATAATTGACTTTCCCTGCTTGACTTATTTCACTTAGCATAATCTCCTCCAGTCCCATCCATGTTGATGTAAAAGTTGGGTATTCATCTTTTCTGATGGCTGAGTAATATTCCATTGTATATATGGACCACATCTTCTTTATCCATTCATCTGTTGAAGGGCATCTCGGCTCTTTCCACAGTTTGGCTATTGCGGACATTGCTGCTATGAATATTGGGGTGCATATGGCCCTTCTTTTCACTACATCTCTGTCTTTGGGGTAAATACCCAGTAGTGCAATTGCTGGGTCATAGGGTAGCTCTATTTTTAAATTTTTGAGGAACCTCCACACTGTTTTCCAAAGTGGCTGTACCAACTTACATTCCCACCAACAGTGTAAGAGGGTTCCCCTTTCTCCACAACCTCTCCAACATTTGTTGTTTCTTTCCCTGTCCATTTTGGCCATTCTAACTGGTGTAAGGTGGTATCTCAGTGCGGTTTTGATTTGGATTTCCCTGATGGCTAATGATGATGAACATTTTTTCATGTGTCTGTTAGCCATTTGTATGTCTTCTTCAGAAAAGTGTCTTTTCATATCTTCTGCCCACTTTTTGACTTGATTATTTGTTTTTTGGGTGTTGAGTTTGAGAAGTTCTTTATAGATCTTGGATACCAGCCCTTTATCTGTAGTGTCATTTGTAAATATCTTCTCCCATTCTGTGGGTTGCCTCTTTGTTTTGTTGACTGTTTCCTTTGCTGTGCAGAAGCTTTTTATCTTGTCCCAAAAGTTCATTTTTGCTTTTGTTTCACTAGCTTTTGGAGATGTATCTTGATGAGCAGTTTTTTTTTATTAAACAGTTTTTTATTTAACGACTGAGCCACTCAGGTGCCCCGAAACAGTTTTCTATTTAAATCAATTAATTAACATATAATGTATTATTGGTTTTAGAGGTACAGGCCTGTGATTCATCAGTCTTATATAATACCCAGTGCTCTTTACATCACATGCCCTCCTTAATACCCATCACCCAGTTACCCCATTCCCCCCACCCACCTCCCCTCCTGCAACCCTCAGCTTGTTTCCTATGATTAAGAGTCTCTTATGGGGGCACCTGGGTGGCTCAATTGGTTAAGTGGCTGTCCTCGGCTCGGGTCATGATCCCAGGGTCCTGGGATGGAGCCCCACTTTGGGCTCCCTGCTCAATGGAGAATCTGCTTCTCCCTCTCTTTCTGCCTGCTGCCCGCCCCGCCCCCGTTTGTGCTCTCTCTCTCTTTCAAATAAATAAATAAAATCTTAAAAAAAAAGTGTCTCTTATGGTTTGTCTCCCTCTCTGGTTTTGTTTTGTTTTATTTTTCCCTCCCTTCCCCTGTGATCCTCTGTTTTGTTTCTAAATTCCACATATCAGTGAGATCATATGATAATTGTCTTTCTCTGATTGACTTATTTTGCTTAGCATAATACCCTCTAGTTCAACCACGTCGTTGCAAATGGCAGGATTTCATTTTTTTAATGGCTGCATATTATTCCATTGTATATATATATATATATATATATATATATATATATATATATATATATATATATACCACATCTTCCTACCCATTCATCTGTCGATGGACATCTGGGCTCTTTGCATGGTTTGGCTATTGTGGACATTGCTGCTATAAACTTTGGGGTGCAGGTGTCCTTTCAGATCACTACATTTTCATCTTTGTGGTAAATACCCAGTAGTGAAATTGCAGGATCGTAAGGTACCTCTATTTTCAACTTTTTAGGGAACCTCCATACTGTTCTCCAGAGTGGCTGCACCAGCTTGCATTCCCACCAATGGTGTAGGAGGATTCCCCTTTCTCTGCATCCTCACCAACATCTGTCATTTCCTGGCTTGTTAATTTTAGCCATTCTGACTGGTGTGAGATGATATCACCTTGTGGTTTTGATTTGGATTTCCCTGATGCCAAGTGATGTTGAACATTTTTTCATGTGTCTGTTGGCCATTTGGATGTCTTGTTTGGAAAAATGTCTGTTCATGTCTTCTGCCCATTTCTTGATTGGATTCTTTGTTCTTTGGGTGTTCAGTTTGATAAGTTCTTTATAGATCTTGGATACTAGCCCTTTATTTGATATGTCATTTGCAAATATCTTCTCCCATTCTGTTGGTTGTCTTTTGGTTTTGTCAACTGTTTCCTTTGTTGTGCAAAAGCTTTTTATCTTGATGAAGTCCTCATAGTTCATTTTTGCCTTTGTTTCCCTTGCCTTTGGCGACATGTCTTGCAAGAAGTTGCTGCAGCTGAGGTCGAAGAGGTTGTTGCCTGTGTTCTTCTCTAGGATTTTGATGGATTCCTGTCTCACATTTATGTCTTTCAACCATTTTGAGTCTATTTTTGTGTGTGATGTAAAAAAGTGGTCCAGTTTCATTCTTCTGCATGTGGCTGTCCAATTTTCCCAACACCATTTGTTGAAGAGACTGTCTTTTTTCCATTGCACATTCTTTCTGTTTTGTTGAAGATTAATTGACCATAGAGTTGAGAGTCCCTTTTTTGGTTTTCTATTCTGTTCCATTGATCTATGTGTCTGTTTTTGTGCCAGTACCATACTGTCTTGATGATTACAGCTTTGTAATAGAGCTTGAAGTCCAGAATTGTGATGTCACAAGCTTTGTTTTTCTTTTTCAACATTTCTTTGGTTATTCGGGGTCTTTTCTGGTTCCATACAAAGTTTAGGACACTTTGTTCCAGCTCTGTGAAAAAAGTTGATGGTATTTTGATAGGGATTCCATTGAATGTGTAGACTGCTCTAGGTAGCATAGACATTTTAACAATATTTGTTTATTTATTCTTCCAGTCCATGAGCATGGGACATTTTCCCATCTCTTTGTGTCTTTCTCAACTTCTTTCATGAGTGTCCTATAGTTTTCTGAGTACAGATCCTTTGCCTCTTTAGTTAGATTTATTCCTAGGTATCTTATGGTTTTGGGTGCAATTGTGAATGGGATCAACTCCTTAATTTCTCTTTCTTCTGTCTCATTGTTAGTGTATAGAAATGCCACTGATTTCTGTGCATTGATTTTATATCCTGCACTTCAATGAATTCTTGTATGAGTTCTAGCAATTTTGGGGTGGAGTCTTTGGATTTTCCACATGGAGTATCATGTTATCTGCAAAGAGTGAGAGTTTGACTTTTTCTTTGATGAATTGGATGCATTTTATTTCTTTCTGTTGTCTGATTTTTGAGTCTAGGACTTCCAGTACTATGTTGAATAGCAGTGGGGATAGTAGACATCCCTGCCGTGTTCCTGACCTTAGAGGAAAAGCTCTCAGTTCTTCCCCATTGAGAATGATATTCTCTGTGGGCTCTTTATAGATGGCTTTTATGATATGGAGGTATGTACACTCTATCCCTACACTGTGAAGAGTTTCTATCAAGAAAGAATGCTGTACTTTGTCAAATGCTTTTTCTGCATCTATTGAGAGGAATATGGTTCTTGTCCTCTCTTTTATTAATGTAGTGTATTGCATTGATTGATTTGTGGATGTTGAACCACCTTGCAGCCCAGGAATAAATCCCACTTGGTTGTGGTGAATAATCCTTTTAATGTACTGTTGGATCCTATTGGCTAGTATTTTGGTGAGAATTTTTGCATCCATGTTCATCAGGGATATTGGTCTGCAATTCTCCTTTTTGATGGGGTCTTTGTCTGGTTGGGATCAAGGTAATTCTGGTGTCATAAAATGAGTTTGGAAGTTTTCCTTCCATTTCTATTTTTTGAAACAGCTTCAGAAGAATAGGTATTATTTCTTCTTTAAATGTTTGGTAGAACTCCCCTGGGAAGCCATCTGGCCCTGGGCTCTTGTTTGTTGGGAAATTTTTGATTACTGTTTCAATTTCCTTGCTGGTTATGGGTGTGTTCAGGTTTTTTATTTCTTCCTGGTTCAATTTTGGTAGTTTATACATCTCTAGGAATGCTTCCACTTCTTCCAGATTGCCTCATTTGTTGGCATATAGTTCTCATAATATGTTCTTAAAATTATTTGTATTTCTTTGGTGTTGGTTGTGATCTCTCTTCTTTCATTCATGATTTTATTTATTTGGGTCTTTCTCTTTTCTTTTTGTTAAGTCTTGCCAGGGGTTTATCAATCTTATTAATTCTTTCAAAGACCCTGCTCCTAGTTTCGTTGATGTGGTCTACTGTTATTTTAGTTTCTATTTCATTGATTTCTGCTCTAATCTTTATTATTTCTCTTATCTTGCTGGGTTTAGGCTCTATTTGCTGTTTTTTCTCCAGCTCCTTTAGGTGTAAGGTTAGGTTGTGTATTTGAGACCTTTCTTGTTTCTTGAGAAAGGCTTGTATTGCTATATACTTCCCCCTAGGACTGCCTTTGCTGCATCTCAAAGATTTTGAACAGTTGTGTTTTCATTTTTAGTTGTTTTCATGAATTTTTAATTCCTTAATTTCCTGGTTGACCAATTCATTCTTTAGTAGGATGCTCTTTAGCCTCCATGTATTTGAGTTCTTTCCAAATTTCCTCTTGTGATTGAGTCAGTTTCAAAGCATTGTGGTCAAAAAATATGCAGGGACTGATCCCAATCTTTTGGTACCGGTTGAGACCTGATTTGTGACCTAGGATGTGATCTATTTTGGAGAATGTTCCATGTGCATTAGAGAAGAATGTGTATTGTGTTGCTTTGGGATGGCATGTTCTGAATAGATCTGTGAAGTCCATCTGATCCAGTGTGTCATTCAAAGCCCTCATTTCCTTATTGATGTTCTGCTTAGATGATCTGTCCATTGTAGTTAAGGGAGGTGTTAAAGTCCCCTACTATTATTGTATTGCTGTCGATGTGTTTCTTTGATTTTGTTATTAATTGGCTTATATATTTGGCTGCTCCCATGTTAGGGACATAAATATTTACAATTGTTAGATCTTCTTGTTGGATAGACCCTTTAATTATGATATCATGTTCCTCCTCATCTCTTACACTGTAGGTGTACAGTGGGTAGAGGAGCCTCCCTGGAGTCCCTGTGCTCCAAGGACATTTCAGAGCTGCAGAAGGATTTTTGTGTGAGGAGAAATGACCTTGTCACCTGTATAGGTAGACAGGACTTAGAAAGTATCACGTCCAAGCACTATGCATGGCAAAAGTAGAGGTGTCTTGAGATGGGTATCTATGTCATTGTCATAGCAGAAAGATGGGGGACGAAGTTCCAATGACTAGATAAGCTCATGACCATGGCTGCCTGGCCTGGAGGGAAACAGGCACAGGCTGCTAGCTCCATCCAATAAGTATGTCCTGGAGAGACTGTGGAGGAATTATCGGTTATGGGGGCTGACATCAGGAAGAATAAGAACACAGAACTTGAGAGGCACCTGTGTGCCTCAGATGGTTAAGTGCTTGCCTTCAGCTCAGGTCATGATCCCAGGGTGCTGGGAATGAGCTCCCATTGGGTTCCCTATTCAGCAGGGAGCCTCTCTCTCTCTCCCTTTCCCTCTGCTGCTCCCCTGTTTATGCTCTTTCTCTCTCTCTCAAATAAGTAAATAAAATCTTTAAAAAAAATAAGGAAAAGAAGTCAGAAGTTGAGAAACCTTGTCCATAGGGAGTCTGTCCTCAACTGCTATGTCTGTGTGGGGGGAGGAGGGTCCAGCCTGGGTCAGGGGGCAGCCTGGAGTCTGGTAACAAATTATACTAGACCTCAGTGAATAAAATGCTGATTTGCCCATCCCTCAGGTTTCCTGTGTATTTGCCACAGATGGACATTGTACCCCCAAGTGCTGGCAGCTACTGGGGCCACGTCAGGGTGGCACAGAGGCAGGTTAGGAAGGAGTTAATGCACTCACATCTCCACCTGTCTTTCCCTATCATCTCTTATATAACCAATCTGAGGTTTTTGTTCAGGAAGAAAGGAGAATATAGGCTCATTATAGTGGTTGAAAGGGCAGGACAGGAAAAATAAAGGGACCCATGAAGGGAGCAGTGGGAAGATGCGATGTATTGTGGTCTGAGCATCGGGGAGGACTTGTCAGAGGAAATGAGTCAGGCTGGGGTCTGAAGGGGGTGTCTCTGGGCCAGTGAAAAGATAGGAGCAATGATTTCCAAATCATAGAAATAACATAGGTTCACACAGCTGATGTAGGAGCAAGCACTGAATGCTGGACATGAATCCAAAAGAATGGTCAGTAAGCTAGAGGAAAAGGGTAAATGGAGAGGGAAGTGTAGGGGGAAAATCCTCTTATGTTCATTTCTAATTGTCTGTCCTCTTCCCACTCCTACTCCTGGACCAAGCCAGTAACCCTCTTGAGATCAAGAATTATGTCAAAATGCATACCATGCAAAAGCAAAGGCTTTCCAATACACCAAAATCTCAGTATCTGTATTTGATAAACTAATGCGTGGTTTTGGTAATTAGAGTATTTATAAATCATAAGGAATTACTGAGAAGCTCTCTCAAGGTCATCACAAGCCCTATAGCATGTTGTGGAGAGGTACAATTAGTGGGAAGAGGAAGATGGTACCTTGGTTGAGGAACTGCTGCCTGGGGTTGGTGGAGGCATCTGAGGAGTCTGAGGGTTGCTGCACGTTGACTGTGTTCTGATTACAGAAGGTCCTGGAAGCTGACTCTGTTCTTGGGTTGTCTGGGTCCTCTTGGATTCATCATTCTGTATGGTTTTGATTTTCTTTTTCTGAAAGTAGTATTTTCCCCATGGTTAATGGTTTTCAATATCAGATAAAGCAGAACATCTGTCTCTCTCTCTCTTCCTTTATATCCCTCCCTCACTTTCCCTTCTCTCTCTGTCTCTCTTTCTCTTGCTTTCTTTTTCTCCCCCTAACACACACCAGGATCTTCACTCTGGAATTACGGCACATATTTAGATACCTCCAACATCTCCCCAGCTCGGACACCAACCAGGATTACAAATGCCGCTCTGCAAATTTTAACAACTCAGATAATTCTAATTTCATTGCTCTGTTGTGGAATTCTCTTCCACTTCTGCTGCAGACTGGCCTATGTCTCTTCTCCAGGAGAACACTGGATTTATGGACTGATAGAAAATCCTACCAGGCTCTAAGAAGAGCAGGTCTCAGAAGAATATCAGCTGGGTTTAAAATGTTTTTTTAACCACGTCTTCATCTCCTTGCACCTTGCACAAATAGGCATACTGGTGTCCATCACCTATTCTTTGGGTCTAGAAAACCCCATCTACATCCATTTGGATGCTTTATTTATCATCCCAGAGAGATTCCCTCGGACTCATAATTCTAGAGGCAGGATTCTGACCAAGCAACCAAATCCTTCAGAGATCTCAACAACACACAGGCTCCTGCAGGAATTGCCCCAGGCCATTCCAAGTACCTGGATTTTCATAATTGTTAAGCAAGGGCAGGGAGTGTCAGTAAAATCTTTGCTCTTGACTACCATTACTTTTACTAATGAAAGCCCTTTTGTACCATTCTCCATCCAATATAAATTTGCCACAGTTCCACCATTTTTGGGATTTGTTTGTCTAATAGGTAAAGTGTCACTTGTTAAAGCTGTGGATGAGGGAGCTCCTGGAAATAGCTGCCTCTGGTGCGCAGCTTCCTGATTAGAGTGACTTCGAATCCGCCCCCCCTCCCCCCGCCGAACCTCATTCCTCATTAGAAAGTGTGTTCAGAGCCTGGGCTGTCGAAACAAAGTCCAGACATGACCCTGTTTATTCATCAATTTTAAGAAATAAATTAATAAATATTGGAACATCTGCATACCTACCATGGACTCAGAAGTGCCCAGTAAGTGCTCAAATTGTAGAGTTAATGACTTTCACTGTCTGGCTGAGCCTTGTGGAATGCTGTTAACCTCTACAAATCTCACTTTTCTCATCAGTGAAATGGACTAACAATAGCATCCGAATGACTCATAATAAAAGGCCTTATAAGGAAGAATGAGATCACACCCGGAATCACACAGATTTTAGAATCCAGTCAGTAAATGTTCAGTACACAGAAATGTCAAGATTGTCATTAGCATTTCATGTCTATGCAGGGAGCTTGTATTTCCACTGTGATGTTCAGATTCTTCATGCTGTATATGTGACCCACATGATGCCATGAGAAATGGTTTCTTTTTTTTTTAATTTAATTTTATTATGTTATGTTAGTCACCATTCATTCCATCATTAGTTTTTTTCTATATTATGTTATGCTAATCACCATACATTACATCATTAGTTTTTGATGTAGTGTTCCCCATGATTCATTGTTTGTGTATAACACCCAGTGCTCCATTCAATACATGCCCTCCTTAATACCCATCACTGGGCAAACCCATCCCCCCACTCCCCTCCCCTCTAAAACCCTCAGTTTGTTTCTCAGAGTCCATAGTCTCTCACTGTTCGTCTCCCCCTCTGATTTGCCCCCCTTCATTTTTCCCTTCCTACTATGTTCTTTTCTTTTTTTAACATAGAATGTATTATTTGTTTCAGAGGTACAGATCTGTGATTCATCAGTCATACACAATTCACAGCACTCACCATAGCACATACCCTCCCGAATATCTATCACCCAGCTACCCCATCCCTCCCACCCCCCACCACTCCAGCAACCCTCAGTTTGTTTCCTGAGATTAAGAATTCTTCCTATCAGTGAGATCATATGATACTTGTCTTTCTCTGATTGACTAATTTTGCTTAGCATAATACACTCTAGTTCCATCCACGTCATTGCAAGTGGCAAGATATCATTTTTTTGATGGCTGCATAATATTCCATTGTGTGTGTGTATATCACATCTTCTTTATCCATTCATCTGTTGATGGACATCTTGGCTCTTTCCTTAGTTTGGCTATTGTGGACATTGCTGCTATAAACATTGGGGTGCATGTACCCCTTCGGATCACTACATTTGTATCTTTGGGGTAAACACCCAGTAGCGAAAATGCAGGGTCATGAGGTAGCTGTTTTCAACTTTCTGAGGAACCTCCATACTGTTTTCCAGAGTGGCTGTTCCAGCTTGCATTCCCACCAACAGTGTAGGAGGGTTCCCCTTTCTCTGCATCCTCGCCAACATCTGCTGTTTCCTGGCTTCTAATTTTAGCTATTCTGATTGGTGTGAGTGGTATCTCATTGAGGTTTTCATTTTGATTTCCCTGTTGCCAAGTGATGTTGAGCACTTTTTCATGTGTCTGTTGGCCATTTGGATGTCTTCTTTGGAAAAATGTCTGTTCATGTCTTCTGCCCATTTCTTGATTGGATTCTTTGTTCTTTGGGTGTTCAGTTTGATAAGTTCTTTATAGATTTTGGATACTAGCCCTTTATCTGATATGCCATTTGCAAATATCTTCTCCCATTCTGTTGGTTGTCTTTTGGTTTTGTTGACTGTTTCCTTTGCTGTGCAGAAGCTTTTTATCTTGTTGAAGTCCCAATAGCTCATTTTTGCCCTTGCTTCCCTTGCCTTTGGCAATGTTTCTGGGAAGAAGTTGCTGCAACTGAGGTCGAAGAGGTTGTTGCCTGTGTTCTTCTCTAGGATTTTGATGGATTCCTGTCTCACATTTAGGTCCTTCATCCATTTTGAGTCTATTTTTGTGTGTGGTGTAAGGAAGTGGTCTAGTTTCATTCTTCTGCATGAGGCTGTCCAATTTTCCCAACACCATTTGTTGAAGAGACTGTCTTTTTTCCATTGGACGTTCTTTCCTGCTTTGTCAAAGATTAGTTGACCATAGAGTTGAGGGTACATTTCTGGGTTCTCTATTCTGTTCCATTGGTCTATGTGTCTGTTTTTGTGCCAGAACCATACTGTCTTGATGTTTACAGCTTTGTAATAGAGCTGGAAGTCTGGAATTGTGATGCCACCAGCTTTTCTTTTCTTTTTTTTTTTTCAACATTCCTCTGGCTATTTGGAGTCTTTTCTGGTTCCATACAAATTTTAGGATTATTTGTTTCATTTCTTTGAAAAAAGTGAATGGTATTTTGATAGGGATTGCATTAAATGTGTACATTGCTCTAGGTAGCATAGACATTTTCATATTTATTCTTCCAATCCATGAGCATGGAATGTTTTTCCATTTCTTTGTGTCTTCCTCAATTTCTTTCATGAGTATTTTATAGTTTTCTGAGTACAGATTCTTTGCCTCTTTGGTTAGATTTATTCCCAGGTATCTTATGGTTTGGGGTGCAACTGTAAATGGGATCGACTGGTTAATTTCTCTTTCTTCTGTCTTGTTGTTGGTGTATAGAAATGCAACTGCTTTCTGTGCATTGATTCTATATCCTGCCACTTATTGAATTCCTGTATGAGTTCTAGCAGTTTTGGGGTGGAGTCTTCTGGGTTTTCCACATAAAGTATCATATCATCTGCAGAAAGTGAGAGTTTGACTTCTTCTTTGACAATTTAGATGCATTTTATTTCTTTTTGTTGTCTGATTGCTGAGTCTAGGACTTCTAGTACTATGTTGAATAGCAGTGGTGATAGTGGACACCCCTGTCGTGTTCCTGACCTTAGGGGAAAAGGTCTCAGCTTTTCGCCATTGAGAATGATATTTACTGTGGATTTTTCATAGATGGCTTTTATAATATGGAGGTATATACACTGTATCCCTACACTCTGAAGGGGTTTAATCAAGAAAGGATGTTGTACTTTGTCAAACGCTTTTTCTGCATCTATTGAGAGGATCATATGGTTCTTGTTCTTTCTTTTATTATGTATTGTATCACATTGATTGGTTTTCAGATGTTAAACCACCCTTGCAGCCCAGGAATAAATCCCACTTGATTGTGGTGAATAATCCTTTTAATGTACTGTTGGATCCTATTGGCTAGTATTTTGGTGAGAATTTTTGCATCCATGTTCATCAGGGATATTGGTCTGTAATTCTCCTTTTTGATGGGGTCTTTGTCTGGTTTTGGGATCAAGGTAATGCTGGCCTCATAAAACGAGTTTGGAAGTTTTCCTTCCATTTCTATTTTTTGGAACAGCTTCAGAAGAATAGATATTAATTCTTTAAATGTTTGGTAGAATTCCCCTGGGAAGCCATCTGGCCCTGGGCTCTTGTTTGTTGGGAGATTTTTGATGACTGCTTCAATTTCCTTAGTGGTTTATGGTTCTGTTCAGGTTTTCTATTTCTTCCTGGTTCAGTTTTGGTAGTTTATACATCTCTATGAATGCATCCATTTCTTCCAGATTATCTAATTTGCTGGCATATAGTTGCTCATAATATGTTCTTATAATTGTTTGTATTTTTGGTGTTGGTTGTGATCTCTCCTCTTTCACTCATGATTTTATTTATTTGGGTCTTTTCTCTTTTCTTTTTGATAAGTCTGGCCAGGGGTTTATCAATCTTGTTAATTCTTTCAAAGAACCAGCTCTTAGTTTTGTTGATCTGTTCTACTGTTCTTTTGGTTTCTATTTCATTGATTTCTGCTCGATCTTTATTATGTCTTTTCTCATGCTGCATTTAGCTTTATTTGCTATTCTTTCTCCAGCTCCTTCAGGTTTAAGATTAGGTTGTGTATTGGAGACCTTTCTTGTTTCTTGAGAAAGGCTTGTAGTGCTATATACTTTCCTCTTAGGACTGCCTTTGCTGCATCTCAAAGATTTTGAATAGCTGTGTTTTCATTTTCATTTGTTTCCATGAGTTTTTTTAATTCTTCTTTAATTTCCTGGTTGACCCATTCATTCTTTAGTAGGATGCTCTTTAGCCTCCATGTAT